TCATTTCTACTCCAAAGTAACAAGAGAACTCTATGTTGAAATTCCATCAGAAGGCAAGAAACCAGAAGATGGAGATGTGGTAGGAAGATTGGTCAGAAGCCTTTACGGCACCAGAGACGCACCCATGAATTGGGAGCTGACCATTGCAGAGTTTATGAAGAAGCTAGGATTTGTTCAAGGCAAGTCCAATCCATGCATCTACTACCATGCGTCCAGAGAACTTCGAACAGAAGTGCATGGAGACGATTTCACGACAGTTGGAAGTTTTGATGACATCAAATGGTTTCACACTTCAGCAGCCAAAGAATGGCAAGTTGTGGAACGAGGCATTCTCGGTCCACCAGGTTCACCAAAGGCAAGCCAACAGATCAGAGTGCTGAATCGCATCATCACCTGGTCAAATGAAGGCATTTGGTGGGAACCAGATCCAAGACATGCAGAGTTGATCATCAAGTGGTTAGGCACTGGTCAACCAGGCAAGGTCAAAACACCTTTGGCCAAGCCAAGTCAAGAGGAACTCCAACATGAAGAAGTTCCGCTGAGTGCCGAAGATGCAACGATGTATAGATCTATTGCTATGAGAGCCGCGTATTTGGCACAGGATCGACCTGATCTGCAAACTGCAACGCGCTCATTGGCACAAGGTCTACAGAACCCAACATCGAGGCACTGGAATATGCTGAAACGATTGGCTCGATATGTCAGGTATCGACCAAGAGTTGCACAGTTGTTTCCAAACCAAAGCACCTGCAACCCCTTCAACATGTGGTCAGACGCCGACCATGCAGGTTGCATAAGGACACGAAAGAGTGTGTCAGGAGGCGTGCTCATGGCCAACAAATGCTGTCTTACAACATACAGCAAAGGCCAAGGAGTTGTCTCCCTGAGCAGTGGCGAATCCGAGTACTACGGACTTGTTTCTGGAGCATGTCAAATGCTTGGAATCGCATCAACAGCAAGAGACTGGGGATTGTTTCCCAGCAAAGAGGTGACAATGGACGCTTCCGCCGGCATCGCCATGGGAAACCGTCGAGGTTTGGGACGAGCTAAACATGTTGACACTCAATACCATTGGGTACAAGAGCGCACAGCAAAGAAAGAGTTTCGTCTCAAGAAAGAAGGCACCGACCGAATGTTGGCCGATGTGCTAACGAAAGCTGTCACCGAAGAGAAAATGACTACAGCCATGAAAGGCATGAACTTCCACTACTTGGAAGGTGAGCATGAGCTGACTTTGAAAGCGTGAACGGCTTGAGCTAGAGTAGGTACTTCTTCAAGACCAAGATGTACTGAAGGGCTACGAGCTAATTCACCGAAGTGCTAATCCTGACTCGCTTAACTTCTGGGAGATGTTAAACTCGGGAGGCGTGATCAGATGTAGCACCAGTTACATGTACATGACATAGCACTGCAGCCGTTTGTGGTTTACTTTTGTGTTCATTTCACTACCAGAGCTCACGCTTGGAGTGGAGCTAAAAGTGGGCCTAAGCTTCTACTACAACCTTTGGGACAGTGACTTGGGGTCACAGAGTTTAAGAGCCTAAATTCTCCGTTCAGATATGATTTGATGTGTGATTACCTTGTGAACTCTCCGCAGTTTGCAAAGCGAAAACTCAAGCATATTTGCACTTCGCAACAAACATGTGCTGCAACAGATCATTTTGTATGTGCCGTTGTTGTGTTTAGCGCAGCAAACCCCTTCATGTCTTTGGATTGCGCGTGGGCTGTCGTTTAGACATGTTGCAGACTTCCTTTGGGGGGGTACTCGTAGGATTTTAAGGACGCAAATTCTTCGAACACGCAGACAGGCCCACACGAAAACGCATGTCGCCTTTCAAGCGCACAGGGCCACGACTTAAGCACCCTACCCTGTCCGTGGCCCTTTGAGCCACATATCTTTGGAATGAGGCCTCGCGCAGCTGCATGCAGATCGAGGGCCGGGCGGTGCAAGCCAGGCGATGGGACCAAGCATGAAGTACCAAAAGACACATTTCAAAGATCACAGGGGCACCAGGATGTCACTGAGCATTTGTGGCACAGGAGTTCCGTCGATGTTTTCCCTTTAAAAGGGGCTAGTGACTAGTGTCAGCTTCGCTCGATGTGATTTTTGTCGAGTGGAGAAGCTCAGACTGACCGTTGTCCAAACGAAACAACGAGATTCCGGAGATTCCTTTTCATGTCCACCGTGTTTGTATCTCATGCTCCGCATCCTTCAGATCGACATTCCACGACCAAGGCGGTGCACTACTTTCGCACTGCCCTGAAGCAAGAAGCTCAGGGTGCAGCCAGGGTGGACCGAGCAGACCAAATCGACGATCATCCTGGATTGCCTGGACCATACTGACTGAAGCAGTGTTGTTCCGACAATGTTTGGGGCATCGAAAAAGAATGCAATGACTTGTCTATGAAGAGTAGGTTTTTGGTCATTTGAGATTTGTTTGCCGCTCTAATCAAATGGTTCGTAGCCAGAAGTTAAACTAATTTCCCTGTGTGAACATGTGTAAACAGTTTTTGCGAAGTAGATCTTTGTCCTTGAAGGAAACCTGAATGAAGAGGATACAGCAAGAAAGAGGCTTGTGATGAACATTAAGGTGTCGGCCCACTACAGTGGATGCTCGCAGTATCTATTTGCAGGCAAAGAATCGGATGGATCTGACAACGTTGTGTCCAATCTTCCCTTCAACGAAGTGTTCCCCAATGAGACCAACGATCAAATGGACTTTAAAGTGTGTGTTTTAGCTAATTAGCCATTGTTCCCGAATGGTGTACCCACTGTTCCGCCAGATGGCCACGGTGCAATGTGCAATCAGCGCATGGAAGGACTGCCCAACTTTGCAAGATGGTCCCATTGAGAAGATCCGGGCGACACAGAAGGGTACTATAGTTATGGGCCATGAGGATGCATGTATATTATCATTGTAATCATTGTATATTATCAAAGTGGTGGATCTGGGCAAAAGGATTACCCTGGTTTGGCTGAGACAGCTACAAACGATCAATCACCTCCTTTTTGGATAGTGGGAATCAAGGTAGTACATGTCCACCAATCTGTGCAGGTTTTCCGTGGGAACTCAGAAAGAAGGCCTTCATCTTGTCCGCTCTGCAGATGGCCAGAAGAGTTGGACACAAACTTCCTGACGAGTCTGCCCATGAATGGTGCTGCGCTCCTGATACTAGGAGGATACCTCACTGTTTTTTAAGTAACTGACGAGGACAACACCTGGTACCGCAGAAGCATCAAACATGTCGACTTTTTCGGAAGCAACGGTGTTGCTCGCCCCGGGGCGAGGCACTCGCCAAAGGGGAGATCATGTTTGGCAGGGCTCAACAGCAGAATGGCTGCAAGTCTTACCCCCCCTTTGACCACCCAACATGAACAGAACAGTTTTTTAGGAGATTAGGATGTTCCCCTTTTTCGATTGGAGCCCTCATGCGAAGACCAGGATGCAAAGGCCACTCTCGAGGGCGCTGTGCATGAACTTCCAGAAGATGCCGAGGCTTTGTGTGGTCGGGCTGTTGGCACCGGTGTGTTGAATGAAAACTACAAGAATCAGAGTCTTTTTTTGCGGGGGACTTAGTCACTTTATCGGCTGGGGATCCTGCTGGTACTTGTATTCATGCCGTGCCTGGCTGCTGCTAGAGGGTTCATTGCTTTCTTGTAGTAGATCTGTTGCTGGGCCCCATTCCATGTTTTTGACTGACGTGTTTTGCGCGCCAGATGTGGCAGAAGCTGCTGAGCATATGCGAACAGCTGAAAGACTCAAAAGGGCAGCACCACTGCCATCGGCGGCTGGTCAGGATGCTCAGTCTGAACAGGCTTGAAGCAATTGAGCGATGACCTCGTGATGCCTTTGATTGCCTTTGCTTTTTCTCAACTATATACATTATGTTTTCCTTTGAAGAATAGAACAACTAGGGCTGTTGCTGCAGAAGTTGTTTAGTCATCAATGAAATGTAACCCCTGCTCATCCCTGTTTCTTTTTCTTAGAATGTAGATCCCGGATGTTGATCCTTTCAAGACACCATTTCTCGGCATTTTTGATGGGCAGAAACTGTCGTGAGTGTTGACGTTCCCATTGTGCCACTCATCACGTTTTTATTATGCTGATGTCTGGAATCATTTGGCGAGTCATCATTCTTTAAAGATTGTAAAGCTGGTTCCGGAATTTTCCTAGGAACAAATAACTACTAGGAACAAAGGGCATCGCTACTAGGAGCAAGGACGCTACTAGGGGCTCCTGGCCTTGCTACTAGGAACAAATAGCTACTAGGTAGTAGGGGTGACTACACTTAACCTGACTTTGGGGGATCCCTCAGAATCAAACAGTCCTCAGTCGAGGCCAAATCCCAAGCGTGATGCCACTTAACTTGCTTGCAATTTATACAGAGGTTTAATCAAGTTTACGTTTACATTTGTTCAAAGCATTCAATCGCCATACGATCGTGTCGGTTGAGCAGGTGAAGGATTTTCATGTCATCATGTCCTCAGGTTCAGCTTGGTGCCACCACAGCAGCATCTCAGATCATGTGCCCAATCTGCGACTTTGAGCATGCGCCCCGATTTGTCCATTCTTCGTGTTGGCTTTCTTCGCTGTCATGTCTAAGATGCTCCCACAGTGTAAAAAACGTTTGATGTAGGGTGTTGAGCCCATAGCCAGAGCCACAAACAACTAAAGGAGACCCCCTCTTCAAACAGTTGATCACTTGCGCCTTTGAGGTCACAAAGGGAGAGGATTTTGCCAGGTTCTACAGTATGTGTGCATGTGTACAGGTTTTCCTACTTGCATGCTGTTGAGTAACAAGTGCTGTTGCACATGCTGCAATCTGGGCGGGCCTAACTTTGTTGGCCCTTATATACATGTACCGTACCGTGTACCCTAAATGAACAAAGGTTCATGTGCTCATGAGTGTCAATGAACTATATACATAAAGAATAACGCGCTGGTTCTTGTTTAGGACTTGCAATTGCAGACTGATTCTCCAGGTATGCCTCCTTGCTAATGTCGGAAGATCGATTGCGAGAAGCAAAGGAGTTGCTGAATCAGGTGCATTTGATCATCCTGGAGCATACTTCGGATACAGCTTCTAGATACATGGGCCACCGGATTGCTCAAGTGGCCATCACCAATCCTTCATTTGGAAGCAGTAGATTTGTCAGGTCATCAAGGCGGAGCCCAAAAATGCAGCTGCACTCTTGAAGTTGGCTCAGTGTCTCAAACAGGACATCACTTGTTTGATTGAATTTGAATTGACCATCGTAAATAGCATTGAGTCATCGAAAGCGAGCTCGGAATTAGTTGTTTGACCTGAATCTCAAGACCTCTTTTTGCAGTGTTTCGAGCCTACTCTAAGAGTGTTTTCTTTGAGGACGGATCTCGTGATGGGAACCTTGAAGAAGCTTTGCGGCTCTTTGAGCAGGCACAGTTCTCCTGTCACGAGACGACCAAGTTCCGCCGCTATAACAACATGGGTAAACACCAGGGCTTGCCCCGAAGTCAAGTCGCAGCATCAAGAAAACCCTGTAAATTGAATGCACTTTCTTTGGTCTTAACGACCTTCAGGTGCCTGGATTAATTGAGCAGTTCCAAGATGCCTGCTTTCCGGGTGAGACTTGAGACTCCATGCTTTCCTTGCCAGATTAACATGTTGTGCAACCGAGTCTCCAATGTTCTGTAATCGAGTCTCCAATGGGTCACCCCCCTGATAACACAAGATCGTAACGAGACAGTTTGTTGATGTTCAGGTGTTGCAGCTCTCTCCAAACAACCTAGAGGCTGGGACGCCTGGAGACATGGAATCATTTGGAACTTATAGGCCTCATTGGCATTTGCTGCATCATCAATTTGGACTCAATTTGATTGATTTACTTTGGACTCCAGGGACACCTGAATCATTTGGTGACTGCCACCTGCAGTCTAAGTTTAAGTAAGGCCCGAGGGTCACAAGGGGCGGCAAGGCCACAGAGTTTCCGAACAGTGAGGCATTGGAGGGAGCAGCTTACTGCAACAGAAAGAGCAACAAGTTGGATCAGGTGCGAAGATGCTTTTTGGATGTATGTGGATCCAGTGGATGGCTAGCACAGATTTGTGAGATATTATTGTCATTGTGAAATTGTGAGATTTTGTCATTGTGGAATTCTGACAGTGAGCCTGAGGCACTTGACGATTGGCCAGATCCTATTATTTTAGACACATCTAGCCAAAAAGGATCAACAAGGTAAGTGGAATGGCCTTCCAAAATTCAGATAAATGTATAGATATGTTTCTGCAGACACTTCTTCATGACGTTTGTCGTGACGCTGAAACTGACCACGGCTGTTCTGTGGAGCCAGGCTGTTCAGCTCTACCAGCAGTGCCTGAAGGCATCTCTTGGTGGATCGAACGAGCCTGCCAATGCTGTCTATTGGGATGTGCACGAAAATCCTCTCATTCGGGTGGAAGAGAACGTGTCCAAAATCGGTTGAAAGCATTTTTTGCAGCAAGACGGTGGACACATCTGTGCCACAGCCACAGCTTGAAGAACACCAAAGTGATGGATATCATAGGGCCGCAGGGGAATTGGAAGACGTTCCATCCCACAACACGTGGAAGACTCCAGCAGAAAGATCTATATATCATTGTGTTTGAACCAGTTTGTCAAGCATCGCAAAACAAACCAAGAAGAGACCAAGCACGCTTCAGGTGAACGCTTCTGCTGAAAGTCCATTGTACTACCTTGGCCTTCAGCTTAGCCAGCAGAGCTCAATGTCAAGCCACATCAAGCCATCGCCTCTAAGGAGACATCCTTTACCGGCAACATCGACATGCAGAATGCCAAGCCTACCTGTCCAGGTGACATGGCGGTTTTGTTTCAACTCATAGGCAGTATGAGCATCCAACATGACAACATGTGCGAAGACTGAAGTGGTCACAGGGTAGACATGGGAGCATGAAACCTGCATGACACCTGCAGCCTGCATCACCGATGGGGCCGACCTATCTACCGATGCCCTTTACCTTAGCCACAAAACCTGCATTGCTGCACAACTGGGGGCCGACCCAGTCGAGGCTATATTGCCCCTAAGCCTTAGGCTAGACACATCTAGACACATGATTTTGTCCGAAGAAAGGCTAGGTCAAAACAGAAAGAGAAAAGGAACCTGATGAATCTTCAGATTTTGTAGTCTTGCCACAGCAGCCTATCTGCCAGGCTAGTCGCGAGCAATTGTGGAGAGGACTACAAGACGGGGGCTTTGTGCCCGCAGCGTATGACGGAATTCACCTGAGCTTTCCAGAATCCCTGTTTGGGTGTTTGAGGTACCTCCTGGCCAAGTCGCATATTTCGCTGGATGAACACGAAGAGGTGCCGGTGCATTGAAAGTTTGGTTGCTGACATGCGGCCCTTACAGGTTATTGCCACATGACTGCAATATAGTCTTAGCCCTGGCAGGCAGAAAAGCAAGCGCGCAGTGGGCTGACATTGAAGCCGTCCGCTCCCTTGTCTCAGACAACCTATTGCACATTGGTTTGATTTCACTCTCTTCGTCCCCTTTAAGAGTAATACCAATGACGGAGGAACCATCCGCACTTCCTCTTCATCTTGGCCTTGGTCAAGAACCGCATGGGAGACTTTGACGCTTCCATTACCACCTTGAAAAAGGCCTGGGTCGAAAAAACAGATCCAATAAGATGCCCGACCGGTGCGGTCTACCCGACAGCCCGACGCCGGACCCGACGCCGTGAGACGACCCAGGCTTTCCAGCACCTGGGAGTCGACAGCGACAACTTGAAGGTTGAGATCCACGATTGGCTCGCGCAGGCGGCCTTCACTTCATGACAGTGAAACGGGTAGGGACACGGCTGGACAGCTGCATTGCCTCAAACACAAAGGCCACAAGATTCTGAGTATGTTGTTGATTCTCTATTGGAGTAGGTTCTAAGTATGTGTTTGTCACTATACTGCTGACGGTACCATCATAGTACCATCTCTTTTAATTCTGTGAAGCCTCCTAATTAGATGCAAATTGACCAACTCATGCAAATCCTGCGTGATTTGGAAGTGCAGGCGTACGAGCGGAAAGGTGAGTACACCAACGCCTCAGCAGAGTCGCCTGCTGGAAACGTTTTGTGCAGAGATCTTGCTGGTCCAAGTTTCTGATGTACGTATAATAAACATATACGTAAGATTAAATAAGTACAATCAGCTAAATAGACTAAACAAATCATTCAGCAACACATTGCAATAAGACTGAGCAACTTCTTCAAGTGTTTCAAGTTTATCTGGCTTATAGCTCTAGGGCTCCAAAGGCTGTGTTCACTAACAGGCTTGCAATGGCTCTGAAGCAAGACCCGTCACACGTGTGAAGCTTAGCATAGCTTAGCAGTGAATAAGCAAGCCTCCCATAGGCCGATACAGTCCGCTCTCGACTGTCCGACTCCAAATTCTAGCGACATGGCAACTATAGTGGGTGTGTTCAAACACTCAGTAGAGTGGGTAAGAGAGTGTTATGCCGTGATACCAATATCATCTAATATTCAATCGCGCCCTAGTCTTCCGACATTGAATATCCATTGATTGTACCAAAACTAACAGCCGGACGTCACACGACGGTCGCAGGATTTGCTGGTTTGTCTCAGAAGGCTATGATGCAATATGTCCGATTCATGAGCCATAAGCCTACTAAGGTTTCTTCGTTGATCACTCAGGGGGTCATCCACATGCAGCTGAAAAAGCTGGAAGAGGACTCAAGTTGCTTTGCCGGTCAGTGCTGAGATCGTTCAAGGAATTCTTCTTCTCTAAGAGGCTATCTACGCCTTTGATTCGTGATAGAAAGTGCATGCTGGATTTGACTAGTGCCTTTATGCGATTGAACCGCCAGGCAGAAACGTCCTTCAGACGAGCTCTTGCAATCGTCAAGAACCATGTGGGCAGCTGAGATGAACCCGAGTGACCTGCGCAGTGAACCCGAGTGCACGAAAAGGTCCTTGCAGTCACCCATTCCCAGGTCTTTGCCTTGATCGACCTTTTGTGTCAAAGCTCGCCTTTTGTGTCAAAGGATGTCCGAGAAGATGCATGAAGAGGGCGTTTGGGGATGGGGCATTGAGATTCAATGATGAGACTTGGGAATTTGCTGGGATGTAGTTGTAAAGTGAAGCCCACTGAGAGAGAGACAGAGAGATGCCGTTATTAGGGCCGTTATTTTTAGCAAAACAATCATAAACAACCGCAGGACACGAAAACGAAAGACGGCAGTCACTTCTTTTCTCGTCTTCGCCAAGGCCTTGGCCTTGGTGCGACTGGGCTACTGCAAACTGCTGTGCGCCGATTCGCAGGAGGCCGAACGGAGTCACCCAACCAGTCACGGTCGACCGGCGTGGACCAGATCTGACCGGAGCGAACTTCCCAGTCTAGACGAACATTTCACACATTTGTTGAATCAGAGCCCTATGAAGACCATCAACTCAACATACCTCAGCATCGTTTATGCTAACTCTAACTATTCTAGTTTCACATGAACTTGATTGGCCACTCTCAACCTCCTTGCGACAGGTCAAGGGCTGTCTTGAAGTGAGACGTGCCAAATGATCGTGCTCAAAAGGTATAGATCATGAAAGCCTTAAAGCCTTTAAGATCTATGATCGTGCTCACTTGTACAATATCAAGAGTTATAGATCTTGAAGCCTTTCGCATTGGGACACGCCCCACGAGCTACGAGGCCATCCTGTTGTTTCAACGTGCCCTTCAGCAGCGCTGTGGCACTGTGGCTCTACCCCGTTGCGGACATAGAGTCCCAGAGTAGCTTTTTGCAGATATGTTAGCTGATCTCTTGACTTCTATACGAAAGCAATTGATAGCACTGCGTTCATGACATGTTTGAAGCTGTAGAGTAGAAGCGAAGCTTGACTTCCCAGCGTTTGGTGTCCCCGGTCAGATGAGGGAGCCAAAAGAACCCTCGTTGACACTCCTGTGAAATCTCGCCCTAGCGAACGAGGCTCTGTGAAAGGCTGCGCCAGGATCTATATGGCACTGGCGCTCATGGGCAAACAGGTCAGAGTTAGTCGTATTCCTGTCGCTCGGTTCTGTGCAATCCTTCCATTTGTGATACCCGACACAGTATGTTACAGTTTCAATCATTGTGGTCGGTAGATGGGAACTTTGTTTGAACTTTGCATATTCGTTTAACGGTAATTCATGATGACGACATCATCATCATCATCATCATCATCATCATCATCATCATCATCATCA